TGTTGGGTCCTTCTAAGTGCAATACAGAAGGTAGGGAGTCTGTTTCAGAGAGATGCAATGGAGCAGACTCCTCTGATCATAGCTGGCCCAGAAGGCAGCAAGGCCATGAGCCAAGTGGTGTGGACAGTTTCTTGATATTGGAAAGGCAAGATTTGATCCATCTGTAGACCCTCAGTAAAGGCCCCATTGACATCTTGGCTGCAAAAGAATCATTTTTAATTTCTTACCTCTACTTTGTAACATAATTCATCTGTGTTATTTTAAACAACTCTCCTTGTGTAATTTATTCTAGCAACAACAGGAAACTATTATTTTTCCTAATCAAACACAGAGATATAAAGTCTTCTCTCCTCAAGTGGAAACAGTATAAAGAATTGTAGTCCCTAAGCTATATGAAGGGATTTGAAATGTAAGTAAGCAACCGTGGATTAGAATTCCTTCCAGTTACTCTCCATTAGATCTGAGATAGTTTTAAATTTTTCTTAGTTTTAAGTTCATCATCAGGAATATGATGACAGCAACTTTTCTTTTCGAAGTTTGTTGTATTCATTTGCATAGTTCATATTAAAATACGTTGCAGATGCCAAAGCAGTGCATGCAATCTTGTTTGTCTCTCAGACAATGAGAGTTGTGGAAGTCATCCCCATAATCAAATGTTCAAAAGATAGAAAATAAGCTATATAATTCTAATCTGAGTATTTGTAAATCAGACTACCTGCATGTATTAACAGCATATAAGCCATCAATATTTATGTGGGAGTGAATACAGTGATGTCACATGCAGAACCATTTTTCACTTTGGAAGAATTAGAAGACTGAATTCTAGCTTTGCTTTAAAATGTTGGTAAAAGTGTGCTGTGTGTTTTCTTCTCTTTGCATCTATCTTAAGGTAAGCAAAGTTTCCTTTGATCTACAGAAAAGAACCAGTGATCTCTGATGAAAGGGTCACCCTAGATTGCAGTGACCAAAAGACTTGCCTGCTGACAACTTTGCAGCAGTCTTCCAGCCTGCCACAGAGTCATGGCTGAGGAATCCACACAGCTAATGAATTCCATAAGGTGTTTCTCTCTTCTTAAGCCCCAGGCATGCAGCATCGCTGCTCATTGTTTTATAGCACAGACTCTAGCTCATTCTTGACACCCACTGCCATTTCCTGTCCCTTCCCAAAGTCAGCCCCAAACAGAACAACAGTACACAGCTTGCTATTTAATTTCCAACAGCATAGCCAGCATTCAGCCGGTAGGAATACCACTGTTATAACCCAGTGGGGTCAGGCTAGAAGTATCAGAAACAGGGATGGAAATAGCAAAGCATGTTCTTCTTAAGGATCTCAGTTCATTGCTTGCAGTTCTCACAATCTGTCTTGGACCAATTTCCATGTGTGTATTTTCATCAGTAAGCTATAAGTAAGCACAAATGAACAAAGAGTGTGCCTTACATTGTACCATTGTCCTCAAAATAATATCAGGACATGGACATTGTTATTATTTTACAAACAAGAAAACATTTCTAACAGTGACCAGCCGTGCAAGCAAATGGCATGGCTGATGGATTTGGAAGTTAAGTCTCGGTGGCATCCTTCTTTTTTCTTTCAGTCCTGCGGGCAAATGATGCTTCCGAGTAAAGTGTGAAAAGAACCCTTGCTATGCAGAGAAAATAGCATATTTGTGTCTTAAGTTTGACATTTTTATTAGATGAAGGGTTCATTTTATTTTTTATTTTTAATAAGTACTTTATTTCATATACAAAAATACAACACAATTGATTTTAGGATTTTTTTACCCCCCCCTTAGGATGTTTTTCCTAATAATATAGTGGTAGTTGGGATTTTATGAAAATTAGAGGAAGGGTTTTATTGGAGGTTTATTTCTAGTATTGAGAATAATGAAGTAACCATGACAAGGAAAGTAGAGGTCAAGATTTAAACATAATTGAATATGGAATTTTAGTCATATTGCTAATGTTTGGGTAGTTATTTTATATTTTGCCTATTTTGTAGACACATATATATGAGGTGTGATATTTATCCACCTGTTTGTTTATCTTTTGTGACATACCCAAATGTAGAATAGGTCAAAATCTTCATGGTCAATGAAATTCCTTACACCTTGCTTTATGTCTCTCTCTCTCTCTCTCTCTCTCTCTCTCTCTCTTCTCTCTGTGTGTGTGTGTGTGTGTGTGTGTGTGTGTGTGTGTATACCACTATATACATATATATCACATATATATATGATAACAAGGCTTATACATTTGGGCATGAATTCATATACATACATACACACCATACACACACATACACACTTAAAAATAATTGTGTATTCATACACCCAGACTTCAAGGATATTCAGAACAATTTCCTGTGTGTGTGTGTGTGTGTGTGTGTGTGTGTGTGTGTGTGTGTGTGTGTGCGTGTGTGCATGTTAAAGAAAAACACATGGGAGGTAAAATTGCAGACTTCTGAAGAGCTCTGTATGGATCTCTTTTCCCTGCTTCACCATGGCCAGGATTCCAGATTCAGAGCTTTCACTCAAAGGAAGTGTTTGTAGTTTTACCACATATGTTTGGATCCTTCATGTTTCTGGATTTTCTCATATCATACATACAGTCTTCAATATGGTGTGTGTGTGTGTGTGTATGTGTGTGTGTGTTGGGGGGATGGTTGGTGATTTACTTTAGAAAACAAACACTATTGATATCAATAATTTTTCTGAATATATAGAAATCACTTGTAAAATCCATGATTGAATGTTCTCTGGTAGACAGATATTCAGGTTGAGTCAAAATTTTACCTATTCAATTATTGCTATAGTGAACATTTTTGTGTTTCCATATGAAACAGAATGTTTGTTTTTAAGGAGTTCTTTAATCAATTTACCTACTAATAATTGTAAAACATCTGTTAAAATTCGCTTTTTTTTCTTCTTTTGTGTGTGTTTTTTTGAGGCAGGGTTTCTCTTTTAACAGTCTTGGCTGTTCTGGAACTCTCTCAGTAGACCACGGTGGCCTTGAACTCATAGAGATTCACCTGCCTCCATCTCCTAAGTGCTGGTATTAAAGGTGTGCACCACAATGAGAAGTATATATATATATATTCCTTTTCTATTTTGAAACAATAATATTAGGTTGGTTTCTGAAATGATTTCTTATTATAGAGTGTAGCCATGGCTACAATATTGTGCATTATACATTATGTACTAAATTTTTTGATGGTATTAATGGTGTTACAATAACTTCCTAAGTAGTTATTTTATATAGTTTATTTATATTAATTTTTGTATTTCAAAGTGAATGTAATTTTGTCTTATGTGTCATTCTTTATATTGCCATTTAGTTTAGAACAAACCTTGAATAACTTTGTCTTCAATGTATGATAAAGTTATTTTATTATAATTACTGATGTGCTAGAGTGTCATATAAACTTTAATATGTACCTCCTTTATCATCATGGCTTTTAATAGGAATTAGTTAATTTGATTAATATTTTTTTCTGTACTTTGGTTTATTTTCTCTTCTGGAAAATGTATTTATTTCACATCTCATTTTTTTTTCAGAACAGAAAGTTCAAATTTAGAACTTAAGAACACATAGTTTTGGGGTTGGTGAGATGGGTTTGTAGGTAAAATGCTTGCTGTCCAAGCTTGGAGACAGGAGTGAGTTCAAATCCCCTGTCTCCATGCAAATAATGGGTATAGTGCATGGTCTGTAACCCTAGCATTTAGGCTTGGGGGAAGATAGGGCCTGGTAGATCTCTAGAGCTTATGGGTCAGACAGTCTACCCAATCAGTGAGATCTGGTTCAGCGAGAAACAACCTCATCTCAAAATGTGAAGTGGAGAACAAATGCCAAAGAATGGAGTGTTAACCTCTGGCCTCCTCATGTACATACATGCATAATCATGTATCCCCTCATGCACATGCATGCATACGATCATTTCAATATATGCATACATCTCTCTCTCTCTCTCTCTCTCTCTCACACACACACACACACACACACACCTGGTGTTTTTAATCTCTCAGTAACTATACATTGTTTGATGATCTATTGCAATTTTCCATAAGTTCTGAGAAAAAATTTTTGAATAGGAGTTCTTATACGCACATTAAATGACCCTGTACATATCTTAAATGGCTTTGCCAATTTCAGTTTATTTAGTACATTACTTTTTATTTATGTTGCAGTTTTTTTTTAAAAAAAATATCAGTCTAGACTAGACAGATGACTCAGCAGTTAAGAGAATTTACAGAAGACCAAAGTTACTTCCAGGACTGACACTGAACAACTCACAACTGCCTACAATCCTACTTCCAGGATTGGATGAGCTTTCCTGGCCTCTATAGACATTTGCATACATGGCTTACACGAATCCACATATCCATACAAAATACAAATATAAATCTTAAATATTAGTCTAATTTCAAGATTTATCAAAGCAAATAATTATTGCAAAGCCCAAACTGCTTCCTTCTAAAATCTGTTTAATGAAACATACCTTGATTATTACGTATATGACAAACTTAAGGCATCTAATCTTCACTTTGGACACTGGGTTTGCAATCACAGTCTTTACGTTTTTGAATGAAGATTGACTGTGGTGTTTCTTTAAAAATGGCATATTCATTTTTAGCTCATTTACTTCTGCCTTTATTATGCTGTTCTTAATTATTCAAAAAACACTGATATCAGCAAATAATTCTAATTAATTCATTTTCTATACACAGCCCTACTGAATAAGAACATTCTCAGCTTGTAACTTCAGCATCTATCTTGATTTGCCTATAAGTGCATCTCATTTCCCCATGCTTCTGTTTCCAATGTTTATATAAACACATTGCTAGCCCTTATGCATGATGTAACAGGATATGATCCCATGATACATTTCCATGATGTCAAAGCTTTTTTTTTTTTTTTTTTTTGGTTTTTCGAGACAGGGTTTCTCTGTGTAGCTTTGGAGCCTATCCTGGCACTCACTCTTGGGACCAGGCTGGCCTCGCACTCACAGCGATTCACCTACCTCTGCCTCCCGAGTACTGGGATTAAAGGCATGCGCCACCAACGCCCAGTAATGTCAAAGCTTTGAATTATGTAAATGGAAACATGAAGCAGAACCCCACAACTTGCTCAATGTGCACTCTCACGTGGCATTATGCATAGTCAAGTGAGGCTTTTTATCTCCCTATCTGCATTTTTGTAAAGTGCATATCTCTGTGGTATCTAGGCACTCAAGCAGTAAGTTAGTTTCTGCATCTGGTTAATAAACTCAGCAAACAAGAGTTTCTTCAGCATCTGGTGTCTGCTTTCCTTTTGTGAGTTTCCATGATTATCTAATGCATGGTGACCTTTGATAATTTCTGTGATTGCTTAGAATTTCAATGGTGGTTCATCTGACTTCTCTTATACTGGGAATTTTAATCTGACAACCAGCTTCCTCATGGTTATTTACCTTACCCTGGAATTCATAGGATTAACCACCCAAATGTTATTCAGTATCTGGGTTTTACATATATCCCATAATTAACTGGTACAATGTTCCAAAATATAATGGACTCAAACAAGATGATATGAGGATTATGAAGAGGAGGGTTACATTTTAGAAATATATTTGGTAAGGATTATTTTTTCTCATGTATGTTACAGTACAGGAAGATAATAAAAATGACGTAAAATCTGTTTTGGGAGGCTCCTGGTGTTCTAGACCTCAGCACATTACTCCATTTTTTTCCTCTTTGTGCCTTCCTCAGCCACCTCTTTCCCACTCACCCCCTACCTCCTTTGATTCTCACATCCTGGTATTAATGTAGCTTGTGTTTCTCTTAGTAAATGGAGAGTTTCCCAAAAGACAGACATTAATAACCTGGTATGGATTAATTTTCCTTCCTCTTGACAGAGTATAGGCAGAGAATGGGTAGCACATCAAAAACACTCAGAAGATATTTTTGTACACTCTGCTTGTCACATTTAAATGGTGAAAAAAAACCAAGACGCTAATAAATAGAAATTCACCTGCCAGATACCTTTCTTACCATCTCTCACAAGTTACTTATCTTCTGTTATGTTGATCTCACCCCTCTACATTACATTCCCAGAAACTCCCAGATTAGAAAGTACTGCACCACAGGAAAACATTTCTTATGTTGAACCAAAGTTCTGTCTTTGTACACTGGCTCTGATAGTATAAACTGAGTAATTGAAAATGTGTCTTCTGCAGGTCAACACAATAAATGCATGCAAGATGTTACATCTTTTGTTTATATTTTACATGCTGCATGTGTATTTACAGTGCCATTAACAACACATTAGGCAGCCTGACTTGTAGCTGTTGTCCTCTTGTCTTAAATACAGCAATTGCAACTGAATGCCATACTGTGTTAGTCAAGGGCCTAGGTCATACCCAAGCGGGTCATGGCACAGCTTGAGCAGGACCTCATATGTTATGGCTTGTGATGAATCTGTAAGTCTTTCCACTCTATTTCTTGTGTTTGGTAAACAAGGTCATTTATGTTGTGCACACATTTATTGAGAATATAATTATCATGAATGTCCCTGGAATTAGATCTAACATCTTCCTAGGCTGGCAGCAGAGCTCACAAATAGCCCCATAGTTCTTGGCAGATTTGGGTAGAGTGCACTTCATGAAGAATGTTGTAGAGACTCTTGTCACATGGAATGCTTGCCCACCAAATTACAAGGACATAAGTCAGAGTTAAAAGAGAGGGACCTGGATTTATATATTTTAAACAACATGTATTTGGGCGTGTGTTCACTTTCAACAAAGGCTTTGGAGTGACTGTTATAATGAAAGTGGTAGTAGTGGTTATGCAGGCAAGTAGTTGGGCAATTGGGTGAGTCATAACAGAAAAGATAAAATGTCTTCAGTCCTAAGGAAACAGTGACATTCAGATATCAATAAGGATAAGTGACTAGTTTATGACTCAGGGCCTTCTGTCATTGTTTTAGTCTGCAATTTGTTTCATCAGGTTGGTGGTGGAAGTTTGTCAGAAACTGTCCACTCAGATGTTATCCAGGGGCGCACTACAACTCCAGATAAAAGGGAATTCTGGAATTGTACAAATAATGTAAGATAGTATGGATAGTGTAGACTCTAGAGGAAAAACATCATGGAAGAGAGTTTGTTATAACTTAGAAACTTATTCAGAATTTAACTTCTCTTTAAACTTCAGGTTCATCTTATGTTTTCTGATATTCTCTAGCTTCAAGTACATAGAATAATCCTGTATTGATAAGCAGCCTTGATCCTGGTCAAGAAAAAAATGTTCATTTCTCTAAAGATGAAAATTGCATTTGTAATGTTCTTAACCACTGAGCCATCTCTCCAGCCCTGAAAATTACATGTGTAATTTTAAAATTACATCTGGTTGCTGGCAGAATCCGCTGCTGAACACTATAGCTTGGCCCTAGGCCCCAGGGGCTTGTTATCAGACTTCACACATGTAGTCTGTTATATTGCCCCTCATTTAGACCTAGAGTTTCCAAAAGAATGCAATCAATATTCTTTTTTTGATGTTCATTTAGGGAAGAGTATTCTCATGTCATAAGGAAATTTTAGTCATGAGCATTGCAAGACTTTTAAGAAAATCATGTGTTTTCCTTCTTCAAATGTGTGCAAGCTGTCCAGGCTTCTCCAGATGCTCTGATCAGCCTTACATCCTAACGTAAGCTTCATTTGCCCAAGGCCCCATTAACAATACATTATGTTTATGAAGTGGCAGCTGATGAACAATTCGATTGACTTTGGTGGTTTTTTGTTTGTTTGATTTCTTTTGTTTTTTTGGTGCCAGTGATTGAACCCAGATCATTGCACATGATAATAAGCCCCAATTGCCTTTATAAACATAATTTCACGGCCAGTGACTTCATAGTCAATCAGCAGATTTTCAGGAAGGAATGTGAAAGATTAATTGCAGTCAAACATTGACAACGCAGGAGATATTTCATTCTCAGAATGGGATTTTTTTTACTACATTTAAATTTTATTAATGCTGGAAGCATGAAAAGCTTTGAATTAGGTAGTTTATTTGAGAATCTGTGATGATAACCCTTGAAGTACAGTAACAGAATGGCGCTATAGGTTAGAATCAGCACATGCTCACTATGAAGCAAAGCCACGAGTTCAGTAGCTAGTACCAAAACAAAATCAGTCCAGACATGGCTGAACCAAACAAACAAAATGCTGTGTCAACCAGTTACAATTCCATAACTGTAGCTACCTTCCCTTTTTAGAATGGAGTCTAGAGCTTTTGGAAATCAAAAATTGGATGCCTTTGTGTGAACTTAATTATAACCAAAATTAAGTGTAGGATGGAGATTTGTGACCATAGGTTAGATGGTGTTTATTCCACAATTACTTTATTGAGAGTATTATAAAGAATTTAGAAAGGTTATATTTCTTTAGTTTGTAGAATAAATGTAGAATAAATAAATGTAGAATAAATAAAACTCAATAAATAGCATACATTTTAAATGTCTTCTTAATATATTCATCATTCCATGTATAAAAATAGATAAACATGTTTTGATTTTCACCTGGGAGTCTTAAGCTAGTTGTTTGCAATCTATATCATCAGACATGTTTAGAGGGGTCTATCTATAAAACACCAAATTTGTAGCCACACACTTCATTAGGGATTTTTTTGTCCCAAATGTTTTGAATGCTATGTATTATCAACATAAAAATGGATATTTTGAAAAGCAAACTTCGATTGTCTGCTCTGCTTTCAATCATTTCAAGGAGAACAGCACCTCTAGGGAAACCCACCCTTGAATGTACATGGAGAATGCTGAGCAGAGTTGCCCTGTCTATCTTTGCTGTTTCCATCTAACCTGTTACTCTCCTGGCTTCCCTCGATTGCTCTTTTGTTGAGTATATCTGGCTTTTAGTGACCAAATCTTCCTGTGCCACTGAGTCAGCACTCACTGGTGCCCCTCCCCCTTTGGAGCTTGACTCACCTCCATTGCTAGCATCACTCCTGTCTCATATTAGGAGATGCTGTGTGCCTGTTGTCTCTAGAACCTGGCTCAGTTCTAGCTAAGTAATCTTTGCGTGAGATAAACTTAATATTTGGCCTCTCACTTTATGTGGGCAATCATACATAGCAAATCTCAGAGAGATTTGATCACAACTGATCAAATTAAAAATTATTCCTAAAGAAATGGGTGACAGTAGTGATTTGTCATTATGAGTACCATGTGTTTCAGTCCTTAGCATGGCCCACAAGTTTTTTTGTGATAAGGCACATTTAAACATGATGAAACTGAGTTTTAAAGTGATTGTTGATATTATTTGAACATAGATTTTAAGAAATGTCCAAGACTTAGGAATGTAATTCCCAACCCTTGATATCCCTCCTAAGTCATACACTTAGGTACCATGCAGAAGAAAGTGGAAAAGAAAGAAGTGAATGGAAATAATTGTTTTTAATGGTGTACCATTCAGCGTTTCTTTCAAAACACAGCAAATGCCAAGGCACTGCAGAGCATGGATAGATACAACTTGCTTTTCCTTCTTTTATGTAGATCTTGGTTTCAGTTCAGATTATTTTTGTTCTAATGAACAATCCACCAGCAATACTCAAAACAAACATTTTAATTTATAACATGCATTAAATAGCTTTTCAAGCAAAGGTTACACTTTATCTTTTTTTTTATTAGCCACCGCATAATATATATTGTAGATTGTATAGAACACCATGTACTCTATTAGCTTTAAATTAGGAACTAAGGGTCTGAGGCACCACATACACAGCATATTTCCATAGCTTTGGGCAGTTTCCCAATGGCTGTGATACTAAAGATAACCATAGCAGATAAATCAAGCTCCAAAGTGGACTCTCCAGCCCGGATTTCTCCAGCTTTAATGTGCCTGTGCAATCTCCCAATGCAATCTTCATCACTACACATTACACAGCTGCCACTGCCTAGGGCACTGAAGTGATTTACATAAGCCAAGTCATTATTCTAACAATTAAATCACTTGGAATTAGCACAAGCACTATTTTTTTTCTTGCTCCAATGTTAGGCCTTAAAGTCAATTGAACACAACTCTCCATATGTTATATAATGTTACTAGAAAACAATGGTTTAATAGAAAAGCAAACAAACCAACCGGAGGTCATAGACTGAAAACAAGTATGTAGATATTCAGGTGACAAAGACAATAGAATATGAAGGAAATATTGGATGACAGCATTGCAAATTTTGAATGTGAAGTATTCTTTAGGTTGATTTCCCCTTTTCATTATTTCTTGTCCTTTTTTTCTTTACTCAGATTTGAACAACTCTTTTCAATCTCATCAATTAATTAATAGGGTGATCACTAAATACATGCAGACATTTGTTGAGTACTTGCTATTCATCCTTGATTGGTAAGTCCCTTGTTTCAACCAATGAGTGGTAATTCAGTTCCTGTCTCACAAAAGAACTGCTTAATATGCAATGAAAACTAAATACCTGAGCTCATGGTGAATGTGATTTACCTTTTTTAGAAAATTTTGTATATTTAATTTTAATTTTATTCTGTAGCAATTATTTTTATTATTCCGAAGTGTCAAAATGATGCCATATATACAAATAATTAGAATCATCTATAAGTCTAATAAAGTATTTGTTTTATTAGGCAAGGCAGAGTTTTATCCGAGTGCCTATATGAGAATAAATTGAAGGTTTTTTTTCTTCTATGCTCGGAAACAATCTTGAGCTTATGCCTAAAGCACGTTGCCAAACTAACTTTACAGCCTCTGCCACAAAACTCAAAAACAACCGAGTAGAGCATTGAGAGGGCCCACTTTGTTGTTCCACTGTACATGAAATGAACTGGATTGATTTCTTGGGAAACTAACCTTGCTGTATCAAGCTATAAATAATGGAATTAAATGGAACGTGAAAAGTCACCACTTAAATGTTATACGATGTGTTTTATAAGGTGACACAATGAGCAACACTGTGCTTTCTTTTTCTTTTTCTATTTTTGTGGTTCTGGAGATGAGACCCAGAGTCTTACTCTGGATGGATGAACACTAAGCCTCCAAATCTAATATTAAACTTTTGTTACATTTAGTTTAGGTACTTGCCTGGATTTTGACCCAAAGAAGAATTCACTATGGCCTACTTGTTCATTGCATGTTTCCAGAAATTTCAAGGGTTAACTTCATAGTAGACTGGCATTTAGAAAACTTCAACTGACTAATTATTTTATTTATTAAAAGATTTCAAAGACATTTCTGATGACAAGTTGTGGTTTATTGCTGTCTTTTGCCTGGCCTATTATATTAGTGCTTATTGTTGTTTTGCTTTATTTGTCTTTATATTTTATTTTTTAGAAACCTGCTATTTGATTATTTTTATAGAAATATTGATTTTATCAATTCTTTGAGAACTTTATACATTGTATTTTGATCATATTCATTCCTATCCTGCAACTCCTCAGAGATCCTGCTACAATACCTACTCAGCCTTGTATCTTTACTTTTAAAAACCCTTCATTTTCAATTTGTCCTGGCTGTATAACCCTGTATATGGTCATGAACTGGGGTCCCTTTTCGATACCAGGTCCATGCCCTTAAAGAAAACTATCTTCTGACAAATATCCATAGTCAGTAGCTTGCCAGCAGCTTGTAGGACCTCATGACCTTCTCCTCTTTCTATTCTAGATTTTATTTCTCTCGAACTTAAACAGGTCTTGTACATGCCATCACAATTTTGAGCATGCAGCTACTTTATTTGTTTCAGGAAAACAGTATTTCCTTGTAGTCAGTTACTATCTCTGGCTCTTACAATTTTTTTCACCTACTCTTCTACAATGATTCCTGAATCTTGGGTGGAGGAGAGGTGATATAGATGTCCCATTTAGGACTGGACACTCCATAGTCAGACATTTTCTGTACTTTGATGACTTGTGGGTCTGTGTTAAATGCCATCAACTGAAAAAAAAAAAAAGCAAGCTTCTCGGATGAGGTCTGAGTGGTACACTAATCTATGGGTATAAAGACACGTCATTAGTAATGGGTTTACTCTTATGCCCCACTAGCAAAGTAACAGTAGTAGGTTCTCTCCTAGTGCCTATGACTTGTCTAGCCCCAGATTCTTAGCTCCAATAATGGCCCCAGGTTTGGATTCCATCTTGTGAATTGGACCTTAAGTATAATCAGGAAGTAGTTTGTTACACTCACAATTTTCATGTCCCATGTCACTGCGAATATCTTGCCACACATACTATTATTGCAGCTCCCAGAGTTCACAGCTGGATGCTATTGATTACTTTTCTCTTCTGATAGTGTGCATAGCATCTTCCAGAGCTTTGGAAGCTAGCCAGTAGGGGTGAAGTTCTCATTTCAACACCAGCTTGATTCATCTGTGTTCTGTGACTCCAGAAAAGTTCTGGAGTGTAAGGAAGAACAACAACTCAAGTCTGTAATGTTGGAGGGGAGGGTTTGGTGGGACCTTGATGGCCAATAACTCTAGTCGAGGTAGCTCGTTTCCAGCACTATGCTCTGGTTGCTAGTTGGAAACTCCTTTTATGTTTGTATTTTAGGAAACTTCTACAGTGGTAATTTTTCATACGAACTTTTCAGAAACTCCTTAGTGTTATTTATCACTCTCTGTGTTCATTCTCTACTAGGTCCTCTAGCGTTCACACCATTTAATCCTTAATCCTATCCATTATTCCCCTTTAATCTGTTACGGCACTGTCTTCCATCTTTTCTGCCTTGCCACTGTTCCCCAGTGGTTCCTGGGTTTCTTTGCTACTGTGAGTTTTCACAAATATTTTGTTTTTGAGACAGTCTTTCTGTGAGGCCAAACTGAACCTGAAAGTCACTATGTAAACCAGCCTAGCCTCAAACATTTGATGCTTGTCTTTTCACCTCTCAAATTCTGAAAGTGCACCACTGCACTTTGGCTGTCTCCTAGCATTTGAAGCCAACATCACCTAGCATTTACTTTTGACTTGATATGTTATTTTCAGTATGTAATCAAACAACCTTTATTCAGTCTTGAAAAAAGTGGCACAATGCCTCTTAAAGTTAGTAAGACAATTTTACTTATCTATTACTTTCTTCTTTTGCCACTTATAAACAAATAGAAATATATGTTAAAGAAAATTTAACAGCCCATATAAGTGAAAGTTGAAACCATCTATAACTTTGAAGTAGCACTAAGGTTGAAACATGATAAAACTTAAAGCATTGATGTCATTTTCTAATGCAGATTTTATTTGATTAAAAAAACCCCACAAAGTTATGCAACTAGACTCTTCTTATAATGGGTCTGTTCAAAACGTTAACTTATATTGAAATATGTGTCCTTCCTTTTATCAAATAAAGAAAGATTTTTTTCAAATCTCCATGAACAACCAAATAATTTTTTTTTAAAAATTTGGAATAAATACTGGGTTAAATCTAGAGATACATCTGAAATGTAACTCTTTATGTTAAATGAGTAATGATAAGATTTTTTTTTGCACAAGCTTATTACATAATCTCTGCTGTTTCAATTAACTAGTTTTCATAGTGGCTTACATTTGAATTTAGAATGTGTACTACTTAATGTGACAAAGTTGGTAGTCTCTTAAACTATTGTTACCACTCATTTTGTAAAGAATTCCAGCTTTGCATAACCATTTAAAATCTATGAACACTAATACATTAGATATTTTGTTTAAGTATTCTTAAGACTGTGGAACCAGAAGATCATTATTGAAATGGCATCCTTAAACATAAAATCAGATATAGTTATCTGTATAAGTAGCACATGATAAATATTCATTTTATGTTTTTGTTTGTCTCTCCATATTTTTTATTTGGTGAGTATATTTAGGAATATGAAAGGCATCTAAGTGATTATAAAATAGTAATTTTACAAAATGAAATATTTAAAATAAGTATAATAAATATTTTCATTGAAATGAATGATTATATTCAAGTCTTTCATTCCTTGTATGTATATACATTTGTATTTTAAAGTTCTTGGCAGTCATCTGAGAGAAAATTATTTCATATTTTCTGAGTGTTTATCCTGCATCCCAAGCATTATACAGAATTCTACCAAGACATCCCTTTTAATCATCACAGGAATTCATGTGGAGTTATTATAGCCTTCTTAGAACAGAAGTAATTGAGGCACAAAAAACTAAATAACTTATTCAATTTTCACAGCTGTCAGTGAAAGATAAATTATTTGCTCAGGCCAGTTCAACACTTGATGTTATCCAAATGGCCAAGAAACAATGGCTATATCTAAAGACTGTTCTCTTTGCTTCTGTTTTGGGTGCACAAAATAAATGTGATTCTTAATTCTAAGCCAAAAGAAAACTTTTAAACTGAGCTGTAAATATCAGTGTAAAACATGATGATATTGTTATTATGCAAGTATGTTTAATTTGTGAGTAAACTCTATAGATTCAAAGTAGACTAATTCATAGTTAGCATTGGCCAAACCATTCAACCATTTAATTTTCTATTATTGTGTTAGGAAGAGTTTTTGTTTTCTCCAAAATTATTCTCCTTATTCAATAAGAACTTAGACATCAGAAGACCCTTAAAGAATTTTCTGCTAATAAAAATTAATGTATATATCCCCACAGACAAAATATGTTTTCTTTCTAGCAGTAAGCAGTGACTATATAAAACCATATTTTTTGTCACCTGGTAACTCCATTTCAGTTAAGGTGGATTAGTTTTTAAAAACTGTGGAGTTGTAGATTTTAGAAAGGTCTATGTACAAGGGACAATTTAATGAGACCCACTTTAAATATTTTTCCATACTAAACTAAAAAAATTTTGTGATCTTTCCAAATGATGAATTTGAAAACATTCAAATGGTTGACATCTCTTTACAATGAAATTTATTGGCTGTTGGTCTACTTTTCCCTCATGCTGTGAAGTCACTACTAAGTCCCCTTGAACCCAATGTAAATTTTGTGGCTCCGGTAAAATGAGGCCTTGTTTAGAAGCCTGCTTTTAAACTATTAAACTCGGGGTTTCATAATTTCCTTTCTACACTGAACTTTTCCTATAATTCCAGATAAAGAAAAAATAGGAATTTAATTTCCGTACAAATTTCTTTCCAGAGCCTCTGTCCAAAATACCAAGTGCTGAAATTTTAAAAGAAGTTCAGTGTAGCATATGCTAATTTACACCTTTTCCTTGGTTTGTGTTCTGTTCTTCTTTTGTTTTAATGGATAAATCATAGAACATTTAAATGACCCACATTCAGAGTGTGGCACATTTTTGTTTTCCTGTTGCAAATATAAATTATCCAATTGTTATTTTATTCATTGTGTTTTGTGCATATCTAAAATGAAACAATTTTAAATTGTGAAAAACATGCAATAACCAATATTCTGATGAAGTAACAAGTAGCAATCCCATTTTTGATGCTATACATGTTGATAAAAATGATAAATGAGGAATAATGTTAAATTCCTAGCCAGGTGATGAAACGAAGTCAAGTTTTTCTTTATGCTTAAAATCTGCTTTACATAAATAGTAATGAGGTAAATGTTAGAAGAACATGTTTGGCTAGCTTTAAGGTATTAGCAAGAATTAGATACAGAAAAGCATCCATAAGAAGAGAAAATAGAGCTGGGCGTTGGTGGCATATGCCTTTAATCCCACCACTCGGGACGCAGAGGCAGGCGGATCTCTGTGAGTTAGAGGCCGGCCTGGTCTCCAGAGCGAGTGCCAGGACAGGGTCCAAAGCTACACAGAGGAACCCTGTCCCAAAAAACCAAAAAAAAAAAAAAAAAAGAAGAGAAAATGGTATTGGGAATAGGCAGATTTGTTAATCATTTAAACTAAAAAAATAAAATACATGCTTGAATATTTCAAATTACATTCATTGAATATTTGCTTAACTGAAAATCATAGTTTTTATGGTATTCAATTCTATTATTAATATTATTATTATAAAATTATATGCTAGGTGACCATTTCTATATAGACACATTATAAATGATATCCTCAACTTGAGATATGGACTATAACATAATGAGTAGGTAATACATGCAAGCATATATGATGTTCCAAACACTTTTTTTTCAGATTCTTTTACACGTATTTAGGTGGCTCCCATTGAATTTTTGCTTTCATCACTTTTTAAAGCATAAAAATCAAATATTTAAATATAATTTTGTTGAAATAACTGTTCAAGCATTCACATTTTTAAACAAGTTTATTTGGAAAAAATCATATATTCTCTATATAAATTTTTATGAGATATATGATGCATAATGATTTTATTCACAATTTTATTATATATTTCAACCTCTTTAAATTTTGGTGTGTGTGTGTGTGTGTGTGTGTGTGTGTGTGTGTGATGTGTTTGCATTTGGGTGAGAGAGAGAGAGGCAAGGGGCTTGATTGTGTGAGTTAGAGAGCAATTTGTGGACCAGTTCTCTCCTTCTGTTATGTGGGTCTCCACTATTAAGTTTAGCTCCTGTGGCTTGGAGGCAAGTGCCTATGTTAGCTGAACTATTAATTTAATTGCTCTTTGTTTTTCTTAATGCTTGTCATTGAAGAACAAAACTGTAATTTTGTTTAATCCCACTTATTTTCAAAATTTCTGCTTTCTTTGTAATGTCAGAGTTCCAAAGAGTTCAAGGTCACAAAGATGAAATTTTATTTGGTGCTGTGAGTGTTGTAGTTTTCACTCTCGTATTTAGGCAGGATCTGAGTTTTGGTTTCCTCTAGGATACAGTTAGGATTGAAAAATGGATTTGCTTGATAGGATGAGGATAGTAGCTCAGTAATATGAAGGCAACATTGATCTTTAATTAAATTTTAATCAATCTACCAACATATTCTCTGCCCCTTTCCTTCCATTTTATATAGTAGCTGGTGTACAAATAAAACTATGTATATGGGGACTTTTGATGACTGATTCTATTTCCTTAGAGGTTATAGGTCTGTTTACGTTGCTTATCTGTTCTTGATTCAGTTTTGGTAAGTGATATCTGTCCAGAAAATTGTCCGTTTCCTTTAAATTTTCCAATTTTGTGGAGTACAGGTTTTCAGAGTATGACCTGAAGATTCTCTGGATTTCCTCAGTGTCCGTTGTTATGTCCCCCTTTTCATTTCTGATTTTGTTAATTTGTATGTTCTCTCTCTGCCTTTTGATTAGTTTGGATAAAGGCTTATCTTGTTGATTTTCTGGAAGAACCAACTCTTTGTTACATTGATTCGTTGAATTGTTTTCTTTGTTTTGACTTTATTGACTTCTGCCTTCAGTTTGATTATTTCCTGGCGTCTACTCCTCCGCAGTGAATTTGCTTCCATTTGTTCTAGAGCTTTCAGCTCAAACCTAATTTTCATCCATGTTTTGAAACAACCTCTCATATAGAGCCTGGCACTCATCAGTTTGCCTAAGTTGGCTGTCCAGAATCCCCCTCAACTCCCAGATAATCCCGTTTCCACCCCCTGATCTGTCCCTAGCCCTGAAATTATAAGCACATGCCACTGCACCTATCATTTTACAAGGGTGCTGGAAGTATAAACTTGACCCCTGTACTTGCATGGAAGGCTCCAAATTTCTCACCTGTAAGTCACCTGGTCTTAAGCTCTTACCTCAGATCTTAGTGCAACAAATGGTTTAATATGATAGCAAAATGATGGAGAAACATTACAAGATTTAAGATGTTGCATGACATTGCTTTGTCTTTGTCAAAGCCTATGACTATTATTGCTTATTTAAGTATTGCACAAGAGTCAACACATTAGAAAAAAAGTTACGTCATTGATATTTTACCTTGACAAGGCAAACAGTATACAAATTACTCTTAACCAACATGGATTTAAAAGCCCCTGCTCCCTATTTTACCTTTTGGTTTGCTTTTTAAAATTTGGTGCCAATGTTTTGGAGGGTTTACTTGTGTGTGGTACATATTTACGACTGCACTGGTCTGTGCCTTTCTCTATTGCTTCCTTTCTTGACACAAGATCTCATACTGAACCCACTCACAATTTGAGCTTGGTTTTCTAGTAGAGGGAACTTTAAAGATCTGCCTATTTTTTTAACCTCACAGTGCTGGGGTTACAAGCACACACAACTTTGCCATGCTTATTTTATGGATTCTAGGGATCAGAACTCAGGACCTTATGCCATCATGTCTGTAGAGCAATTGTTCCTACCACAGAGCCCTTCCTACAGGCCCATTTCATAGATTTCCATACTAGGACCTTTGCAACCAACTTTATCCTTACATGCTTTTAATCTTTATTTTCTGTTATACCAGGACTGTGATTCAGGTGAAATGGGGTTAGTTTTACATGGGTGGTAGTAGTAGTTAGTTAGCCACTAAGAGGCTTTGACCAGGCATGAGTGACAATTCATTCTCAACACTGGTTCAGTACAGGTGATTCTTCATCTTCTCTGACTTTAGGATAGGGATAAAAATCAATTTTTCTTGCATTATGTTAAATGACCCTCATAGAACTTCTTCTAACAGTCAGCTATTCATATTACATTTTAGTTGATTTAAAAATAAATTTAAAAATCAAATAAAAAACATAAACTTTCTGTGTTTATTATTCTTCCTTTTACTTGGTCCAGTTGGAGAGTTACAATAATAACATGGTGAAAAACTTGGCTGAAATACAAATATCCTTTCAATCTTCACTCTAAGAAGGAAATTATGTTTATTTTCTTCATTCACAATTCAGACTGAAAAAGGAAAACCTCCTAAATACCATTAGGGAAGTTGCTACTTTTGGAGCAACTTTAATGAAATTGGAGTTAAATTATCTGTAGCTGTTTCTATATGGTTTTGTGAAAGTTATCAGCACTGCCATTTTATGATGTGAAAAATGAGGAGAAACTACTTACATCCCCTGTTCAGTTTGGGAATGCTGTAAAGAAGAGGTGCTTAGATGCAACAAAACAGGGGTGGGGGAAGTACAGGAGAACAAACAAGACAGAGAATGGGTGAGGACACTTTCACAGTGCAGTGGGTTATATGAAAGAAATAGCAGGGGCTAAAAGGGAATGTGTAGCTCGGGATATGGAGTTGCCTCAGATGGAAGTCTGTAGTGATAATTTGACATTGAAGTTGACCCTTATTGAAGAGAAGATACCAGCCAGGTATAGCATTAGGAGAACCTAATTCTATGAAAGGAAAGATCTTTGTCAAGGTTATTTGCTTAAAATAAGCTTCAAGATTCTAAGACACTGAAGTTCTACAACAGCAGTTCTCAGCCATCCTACTGCTGTGACCCTTTAATACAGTTCCTCGCAGTTGGTGACTACCAACCATAGAATTATCTTCATTGCAACTTCATAACTGTAATTTTGTTACTATTAGGAATCATAATGTAACCTTTTTTTTGAGATAGAGGTATGCCAAAAGGGTCTCAACCCACAGATTGAGAACCACTGTTCTACAGTGAAGTTTAGAGGGTGGTGTATGCAGTTGAGAAAAACTGAGTCCTTAATAGCAACTAGCTAATCGACTAAGTGCTGGCAGGTGGATTTTATTTAAGTATGTTGGTGAGCTAATTTAAGCTGACCAACTGGGTAAGAGACTTTCTGAGGTGAACACTGATCAGTACTGCTCTGATCTGTGTAGAGTCAGTTGCATCGATTAAGAAAGTAAGTGGGAAGGCCAGTTTGGAGAATGATGCTGTGATCATTGTGCTGACCAAGAATTTCAAAGCAAATAGGAATGACATTGCTATAATTTTATAATAAAACACTTAAGACTTGCTAATAGAGTTCATTTTGGAATAAGAGTGAACTACTACATCTAATTTTCAGACTCTTAAATTAGATAAAAGTAACTAAGTTCTGAGCATATGGGAAAAAAAGATCTTGAGGGGAATTTTTTCTAAATTAGATATTAGGGGTGCAGTCTTGAGAAGTCTAATGACAAACTTTTGAGACAAGTTTGGGCTGAATGTACACATTTCCATCTTAAGACACACATTATTATTTGAAGAAGTCAGTAATAGATGAGGTTACTCAAAAAGGGAAGTAAGACGGGAGGCAAAATAGTTCTGAACCTTTAGTACTCAAATTGGAGAGATTATGTATAGGAGAATTAAATAACGGTCACAGATAATAATAGATACTGATGGAGAGGAAATAGAAAAGTATGGTCTCAAGGAAGCTGTACGCATGGGAGCACACACACACACACACACACACACACACACAGCATTAAAAGAAAAGCAGAACAATGACTTATGAGAGAGTTGCAGTAGACTGCTGAGGAAAAGAATCCAGATTGAATGCTGACTATAGGCTAACAAGGAAGAGCACATTTTCAAACTGTTAATTTCTGAGAGAGGAGAAGGATGTAGACTTAAAGGTTTTTTTTTTTTTAAATTCTGCTTGATATTTTCTTATATGCTTATATTTACTATTTACTGTGTTAATTTATTCTTTAGTTCATCAGAACAGGGTTTGTATGCTTGCTTGTGTGTGGGTGTGTGTGACTGTGTGTGTGTGTGTGTGTTTGTGCGT